CTTCAATATTACCACTCTTAACAGCATTAAACAATGGAGTACAGTTGTCCTATACATACAACACAAAATGATGAAATTGGAATTAAATGATCATTATATTACTTTATCCACAGCATTTATATCAGCATTTCCTTTAGTTATTAATAATATAATAATATTAGCATTACCAGTTTCACTAGCACAGTGTAATGGAGTGCCATAATACTAAATAATAAAATAAATTAAAATAAATTCATTTACTAGGACACAAAATCAAGGGTACAATATTTAATTGATGGGTGCGTGGGTTAATGAATATAAATCAATGGTCAAAGGATGTCACCTCTTAGTGACTCAATAAATGAAAAATCATTTTGTGTGCAAGGAACACATAGGTAATCGCTACCAAGCACACACAATGCATGTCACATTTTAAATTTGATCATCCATGAAATGCTGGCACTAATACTTACTTTAGACACAACATCAGTTCTAGCTCCATTAGTTAATAGAATATTGACAGCTTCAATACTACGACTCTTAACAGCTTTAAACAATGGAGTTCTGTTCCACTATACATGTAAATATAACACAAATGATACAATTAGAAATGATTGTGCAATAAGCTTTACCCTATCCACAGCATTCACATCAGCCTTTCCTTTAGTTAATAATAATTTGATAATATTAGCATTACCAGTTTCACTAGCACAGTGTAATGGAGTACCATAATGCTATATAAATAATAAAACAAATTAAAATAAAATAAGTTACTATGTGGCACAAAATCAAGGGTACAATATTTCATGGATGAGTGTGCAGGTTAAAGAATATTAACAAATGGTCAAAGGATGTCACCTCTTAGTGGCTCAATAAATGAAGAATGATTTTGTGTACAAGAAACACATAATTGCTACCAAGCACACACAATGCATGTCACTGATTTTAAAATTTGATCACCCATGAAATGCTGGCACTAATACTTACTTTATCCACAACATCAGTTCTAGCTCCATTAGTTAATAGAATATCAACAGCTTCAATACTACCACTCTTAACAGCATTAAACAATGGAGTACTGCTCCACTATAAATATAACACAAAATGATACAACTGGAAATGATAATGCATAAACTTTACCTCATGCACAGCATTCAAATCAGCCTTTCCTTTAGTTATTAATAATTTGATAATATTAGCATTACCAGTTTGACTAGCACAGTGTAACGGAGTACAATAATACTATATATATTTGATACAATTATTTCATGATTACATTAATAAAACAGATACTTATAATTTCTAAAAGTGAAACTATAGCATCTCAAAATTGTTGAGCAAGTACATGTAAGTACTAATAATGTGTGTAGGTGTTGTGGGTACAAATATATGCATACCATATGAGATTTCTGTAGGGTATCAATTTTTGCCAATTTTGCAGCTCATTTACATATCCATGAAATTTTATTTACACATAAAAAACTAATAAACAGGCCACGCAGAGTTTGAAATACTCTTTTTAAGCCAGTGCAGAAGCCAGAATCTCTGCCTGTGCTCCTTTTTTCTGCTACAAGCCATGTATCAGAAGCTACATGTACATGTACATGTATTACTGTATATCTAAGCGAAAGAAGCTTACTAACTGCCAGTTATGAATATTTGCACCCACAAATATTAGCTTTCTAAGTAAAATTTGGAGAAAATTAAAAATATTGTGCCTTCAAAATTACCAACCACATACAATTAATGTATAGCTTGATGCCAGTAACCCTCTCATAAAGCTAACATGTTCAACCTTTTTCAGAAATAGTCTAACCTCATATGTACATGTACATGCACTGGCTACTTCTTATAACTCACAGTATCAAAATCAATATTAGGATCAGCTCCTTTTTCAAGAAGCATTTCAACAATTCCAATATCATTCTTCTTAATGGCTTTAATAAGAGCAGGATTGCTACCAGATGGATACTATTGTAACAAATTAGAATATCACAGTACATACAGCTACATACCTCGGTAGCATTAGGATCAGCTCCTTTCTCCAGTAACAATGTAACATTATCAGTATTATCTTTTTCAATGGCTCTAATAAGAGCAGGAGAGCCACCAGATGGATACTATTATGCATATAACAAATAAAAATACTACAGTATACATGTAGCTACAAACCTTAGTAATGTTAGGATCAGCTCCTTTCTCCAGCAACAATTTAAAAATATCAGTATTATCTTTTTCAATGGCTATAATAAGAGCAGGAGAGCCACCAGATGGATACTATTATAACAAATTTAAAATTACATACATACATGTAAATACAGCTACAAACCTTAGTAACATTAGGATCAGCTCCTTTTTCTAGTAACAATTTAACAATATCAGTATTATCTTTTTCAATGGCTATAATAAGAGCAGGAGAGCCACCAGATGTATACTATTATAACAAATTAGAATACTACAGTATACATGTGCAGCTACAAACCTCAGTAACTTTAGGATCAGCTCCTTTCTCCAGTAACAATTTAACAAAATCAGTATTATCTTTTTCAATGGCTATTATAAGTGCAGGAGAGCCACCAGGCGGATACTATGATAACAATTTGAATACTACGATATAAATGTAGCTACAAACCTCAGTAACATTAGGATCAGCTCCAGCTTCAAGTAGACCAATAACCTTCTCAAGTTTACTATGAGATTCTATGGACTTTATCAATTCTCTTCCCTACATATGTAGTTACATGTAAAGCTAATATACAATTTATCATCGTACCAGGCTGGAACTTTTAGCTTCTTTCCCAATTGATGAGCCCTCAGCCCTCTATTTAAAAAGAGATAATTATTGTTGTATATTAGCCTCACTAGTCTATAAAATCAAGATTAAGGTATTTACTCATTTACACAATAAAGACTGCCAATACATTGCAATCATAAAATCACCAATATTAAGTGCCACCAAATATTTCCACTATATTTTATGTTTCATTATATGACCTATTTTGCTGTGCAATGTAGTACAAACTCAGTATAGACAGTACTACTTACATGTAACTGTTAGCAGAATTTGATCACCAATAAACAACTTAACAGCTTATCACTGAATTGACAACAAAAGAAAAAAGCACAACAAACTAGTTGCATAATAAATTACATCCCTTCAACACTACTGTATAACAAAAAAAATTGTGGCCCAAAATTTTCATGGATTTCACCTTTTTTCAAATTTCACGAAAATAAAATCCACAAAAATTAATTTAATATGGTTCAAGATGGTTGCAGAAAATTACAAATATTAAAGGCTACAAAATTAATTTTTTTTGAATAGATTCTTGAAAAAATTTTCCACTATACATTGTATGATAGTAATTAGCTACATGTGCATATGCATACATGTACATTGTAATCTTACTGTAACTGTACATGTATATGTGCTATACCTACCAAAGTAGTGCTTGTGGTGGGAATGTTTTCCTCAGATGATGTGGCATGTATAACTGAAGAAGCATTAAATATAAAAGATAATTGTATATAATCAATGAAAGCTATTTATATAAAAGTACACATGTACCTTCTTCCTTGCCATCAAAATCTTATGTAAAAAATAGAAAATAAAAATAATTTTATATACTGCATTATCTTATATGTACCTTCTTCTTCTTGTTGTGATTCAATTACAGTAATATTGTGGTCTTTTAGCTTCTTCAGGATTAGTGGATCCTTGAGATCTCTCCTGACATCATCAAGAACACATGGTAGTATGGCATAAGTGATGATAACACAATTTTTTCTTAATTGTTTAAGAATTGCATAATATGACCATGAGAATTCACCAAAGGTTGAGACCCAGGTATAAAATCGAGAATGAAGCCAAGGGGAACCAAGACGAAAACAGATATAAGGTAAACCAAGAGGAGCAGTAGGAGATAAATCAGATTGTTGTTCAAAGAAAGGTATCAAATCTTCAAAGGAAGCTGCACTCAATAACTTAGCGTATTCTTTTTCATATTCAAAAATCGTCTGCTAATCTCATTATCATCTTTA